TCTTTCTGTTGTTGCGCCCATAACATCTGTGTGTCTGTCTGAATGTGTGTGTGTGTGTGTGTGTGACCGTTACATTGCCACACCATGACTAAGCCACACAGTGTTGTTTTCTTTCCCCCTTTGGCCACCGTATGTTTTTTCAGCCCAGCAGGCACATCGCATTGTCTCCATTCACACTGAAAGTTACCTCATTGGTTCTAATTGCGTCTATGACATCACTACAGTTAGAAAAACCAAGGTGTTGTTTGACTGATTTTACAGACAGTCTCTGGGCCAAACAGACCTAAAAAACAACAGATGATCTCGTGATTTATACAGATCTGTACTCAGTGGCAGTGGCATGGTCACAGGTGTGAAGAGATCATCCAGTAATCCTCCTATGGAGAACACACATCTGTGCACACACACACATACACACACAGTCACACAAACCCCGGCTTTTAGTGTCGAGAATCAGTGAGACAATTACAAAGCAATATCCAGGCAGATACTCAGTGGCTCTCACAGAGGGAATTTGGCAGCTCTCTTTTGGAATTGATAGCTATTTAGCTCACAGATAGTCATCTGTTTTAATGCATTAATTTTGTATTAACAGCACTGCCAAATTTAATGGTGGAAATTAGGGGTATGATCGTAATGGTGTGTGTGTGTTTCGGCTTGTGTGTATGTGTGTGCAGGCATGTGTGTTTGTGTGATTTTTGATCTATATTTTGCGTGTTTTTTTTTTCTTTTTTTTTGCATGCACAAATCCTAATATACCAGCCCTTTGGGAGCTATTCTTTGGCATTACCGGCTCTCTGTCTCCCTTCCACCCTTCCAGTAATGCCCACCTCCATCTTGTGTGAGTCGGACTCTCTCAGTAACCACACTGTTTTGTGTTAAAGGTGCACTTTTACTTTGCATTTAAGTGGATGGAAATGCAGATGTATGCAGTGCTCCGTGTGGGTGGTGAAACTGATATAGGGCTGTGTGTTGCCCATCCATGGAGCAGAGTGTAGTGTTGAGTTTAGAGAGAGAGGGAGAGAGAGGGAGAGAGTGATGCTCACACTGCCCCCAGTCCCTCTCTACCTGAAAAAGTATGAAGCTCTACATCAGCCTCCACAGAGAGAGAAGGGCTTTAAAACTCACCATCACGTTTAACTGTGAATATCTAAACTCATGTAAAACAGTAAAAGCCGTCTGAAATACACATTATACTGAAGTAAGTGAGATATTTAAAATGTATACAATAAACTATCACTTTAATCTTCCCATCTGCATGTAGACTCAAGTTGTTAAACTTTCTAAAAATGCAATCTAAGTAAATGAAATGTCAATATTTGACTGGGCAGCTCTAGAAAGAAATTAAAGACTAGAATTTACAACAGACTTTAATTAACTAATGAGTTTATAAAATGATCTCACACAATAAAAACGAGCTTATTAAAATTAGATTGTTATGCGATCACAGGCTTTTTTTCTTCCAATTTAATCTTTTAATCCTGTGAAAACCATGGATTCTACTTTATCCTGGTGCACCTGAACAATCTTCCCATTTTTGAGGGAAAACTGGATTTCCTGAAAATCCCAGAAGACGTTCCTCTGTCGATGGAACTTTCTTAATGTTGTTTGTACAATCTTTACAGCCTTAGTCTGGTGTTTTAACATCTTTAGGGGTTGGGTTGAAGACTATTCCAAAACTGGTTTATCTTTAAAATGATTCTCTATCATTATCAGTAAAATACAAATATTTGGTCAGAAAAGAGTCAAACCTCAGTGAAAATGGACTATTCAGGTCTGAATTTTAATGCGGAGTCAACGGTTTAATCCCACAATCTTTTTTCCTCACTTATTGAAATGATTATTTCCAAACGGGCAGCCACACACTCTTGCAGTTGTGTATACAACTGCTGTAAATTCCCAGACAGTTCAGTGGGACTGAGTCCATGCCACTGACCCAGCCAACTTACCCCCATTATGCTCCACAGCTCCCTCGTTGTTGGGGCCTAGATAGGGCGCTTAAAAACCCAAGAGCGGGGTTGACCGACTCCTCCCAGCTACACATCATTTTTTCATTAGGTCGCCAAATTCCTGCACTCCAGTTGGAGGTGATTTATCAACGAGGGGCTTCATCGCAGGTTCATAAGAAACAGACGCAGGCCCTGTCTTTTGCATTATGATGTTTTGAATTAAAAGTGGATACACGTGAGTGGGTGAGTGACTGAGTGAGTGGGTGAGTGAGTGGGTGAGTGGGTGAGTGATTGAGTGCTCTGGTGACCGCTCACATGATCAGAGTCATCTCTCACATGAAGGTGACCTGTGAGAAATCCATATTTTTTTGTGACCAACCATCAAAGAGTTCCTTTTCTTTACACCAGGAGTTTAATCACGATTCTCTCAGGGAAAATCAGTGACCGGGGACCTACCTCAGTCTTACCCCGTCCCCTGACTCTGAAATACCCCAGACAGCTCTGGGTCATGGCCGGGGCAGGGCTGGTGAAAGTGGTGGTTTACAGGTGTAACCGTTTGACATTGCACACAGCAGTACAGACCGGGGCAGGTCAGTTTGGGCCCAGTTAAGGCCGTCCTCCTGTACGGTCAGGTTAATAGTGAATTATGGCTGATTCTGGGGCAGGCCGTCTCCAGTTCACTCCTATATAAACCCTGTGGTTTTTATGGGAAACTATAAAACTCCCAGAATTTTTTTTTCTTTTTCTACCTCTTGAGACGAGCTTTGATGTTCTTGGTCAAGCACTGTCGTTTGGTTTTAAACTTCTCATGGATGTTTGCAGCCTCGAGTCATTTGCTGCATGAACTCTCTCTCTCTTTGTTTTAATTCAAAACATCTGGTACAACTAAAAGCAGTTTGCATGACGGATTTGGTGCTATCTATATCTGAATCTGTCTCTTAGGTCTCTCTCTCTCTCTCTCTCTCTACCTCTACCTTATTTCTGATGCAAGACCCGTTCTCAGAAGAAAAAGGAAAAAAGGGTTAGCAGGGCTCCCACATTATATCCAGCAACACCTATTCATGACATCATGGATGGCTTAAAACGAGGCGAGAAAGGAGAGCACGCAGAGACACACAGCCTTCTTTACAATCACCTAATAACTCTATTACACGAGCTGGGGGCTCAGAAAAAGAAAAAAAAAATCAACTCCTATTTCTTTTCCTGGAAGCAGTGTCATAATGCACAATTTTAGGTGTAAAAGTGAGAAATATGAAACCACAGAGGGTGAAACACAATGCCTCCAAAACCTTACAGCAACATTGCAATATTACCAGAAAATTAAACATTAGGAGAAATGGGGAAAGAGCGTTTTAGGGGAGGCATAATGTTGTTATGTATTTTTTTTCCAGCAGACTGTCAACACCTGATTTAGATATAATGTGGTTAAATGTCTAATGTCTCCATGGGTTTAGCCTTTTACAGGCAGACAAACATGACACCGAGATCAGTCTTATGAATAGATCACACGTTTATTTTTTTGAAGTGAAACTCATGCCAGCCAGAAAAGAGGAATTAGGGTTGTTTTTGTTGCGCCTCAGTTTGATTCAGTACATTTACAGAAGTGGCCTCATGAACCTCACAAAGTATTTTGCAGAAAGTTGTACTGCTTTTATTTATTTCTCATCCACATCCTGTCACTGAGGAGACAGACAGGAGAGTGAAACCATCTGGTGATTGACATCGATGGCCGTCACAGTTGCTGTCGGCAGAGTTTGACGGAGGAACAGCACACGACTGCTTTGACACTGAGTCGGAGGCTTTTGTTGTAAACATGAAGGAAGCATCGGTGTGACGCGTCAGGGTAATGGTCAATATTTCTGCTGCTCACAACAGGCCCGGCCATATTGTGTTGGTCTTGCATCATTGATTAAGCCGTGCAGGAGGTAATTAGACTGGAGCTCTGCGGTGTGACAGGAGGATGTGGTGGTATCGCGTCTCTACTGGGTGTGAGGTATGTTGTGACACCAGGGAAGGTCAGCTGAAGACCTGCTAAGGCCTGCTGCTGCAGGAAATGCTGGGGTTGACAGGTCAATACTGGGGTTTGATTTACTTGTGTCCTCAGCAGGTCTTTCGCCTGTTGGGGAATCTTCCGACCCCCCCCCCCCCCATAATGTCCACAGTCTCCACCCTTACTCAACAGAAGCTGACTTTACCGCTCTCTCTCTCTCTCTCTCTCTTTATATATAAAGAGCAAGGATTTAACTCGGCGCGATCAATATTCCGTATCCCATGCGTGAAACGGGCAGATGTTTGGAATTTCCTTTTCAGAGGCGAGAGGCTTCTGTTGAGTGAAGTGAATCAATGCTGCGTCCGTCTGTGAGGGTGTAGACCCACAGCTTCTGAAGGGTGGCTGATGTGATTTCTGCCCTTCCTGGGGCTTCCAGGATGTGTGCACCTCGCAGGCCTCTCCTGTCCTTTTAAACTACTGATGCAGACACTTACACAGGCAAAGTGTGCAGTGAAAACAGTTGTCCTGAAGTGAAAGAGGGCTGGATGTTAAACAACAGGTCTGTGATTGGGAATTGATTTGTTCATTTGCCAACTGTGTGAGCAAAAGTGAGTAGGCACTGCCTAGACAGGTATACATACCACCTACAATAACCTCTTCTCTCACTGTTTTTCTCCCTCTCTTCATCTGCCTCTCTCTCCCTCTCCTTGTTCTCCTCCGCCTCTCACTCTCTCTCCCTCTCTCTCCCTCTCTCTCCCTCTCTCTCCCTCTCTCTCCCTCTCTCTCCCTCTCTCTCCCTCTCTCTCCCTCTCTCTCCCTCTCTCTCCCTCTCTCTCCCTCTCTCTCCCTCTCTCTCCCTCTCTCTCCCTCTCTCTCCCTCTCTCTCCCTCTCTCTCCCTCTCTCTCCCTCTCTCTCCCTCTCTCTCCCTCTCTCTCCCTCTCTCTCCCTCTCTCTCCCTCTCTCTCCCTCTCTCTCCCTCTCTCTCCCTCTCTCTCCCTCTCTCTCCCTCTCTCTCCCTCTCTCTCCCTCTCTCTCCCTCTCTCTCTCCCCCTCCCACAAGCACCTGCAGCAGCACGAAAACGCAGTGGAGGGTGATGCCTGCTACTACCACTGTATGCTGTGTAACTACTCGACCAAGGCCAAGCTCAATCTGATCCAGCATGTGCGCTCCATGAAGCACCAGCGCAGTGAAAGCCTCAGGAAGCTTCAGCGCTTGCAAAAAGGCCTGCCGGAGGAGGAAGAGGACCTGAGCTCCATCTTCACCATTCGCAAATGCCCTTCTTCAGACACAGGTCAGAACCTGCCCCAGTGGCCCCGTCCTTGTGCTGTGTGTATGTGTCTGTGTTATTCATTTTCCACATCCTTCCTCTCTCGTCTCCTGTCCTGTAGGCGGCCATTCACACACAGCTGACCAGCAGAGAGCTGATCACATTTGACTTGACACTTTGCATGAAACATTTTTTGATGCAACAGCAGATGCTGTTAAGGTTAATTCGCCGCGAGCCCATTGACAGTGTGTCTGTTAGCTAGACGTTCATGCACATTCAGCAGAGGTTTCTGCCCTTTGTCGTTAGGTCGGATTTGATTCTGACTTGAGTTTTAATCCATTTTTAGAAAAGTTCCTAAAAGTAGGGTCTGATAAAGTGGGTCAAAAACGAGGGCTGCTAATGTGAGATTCATTGATGAAAATAAACGGGAACGTGTAAGGCCATAAATAACTGTTCATGTGAGGGCCTGTGCAGCAGGCCTCTCCTGTAAACACACTGCTGTCTCTGTCAGCCATTCAAAACATATTGACACAAATCACAGGCCAGAAAGGATCTGAACAACAAAGGCAGCTGCAACAACAACAGCGTCACCACCGAAAGCAGACACAGCTACGACAACAGTAGCACGTCTGAAACAAAGTGCATTGACTGCTCATTTATTACTGACTAATTAGAAAGAGTGAGCTATGGTCAATTAAC